ATTCCCTTATCATAATCCTTATAGTTTTCAAGGGTGAACAATCTACTATTACCGTAAACACTTAGAATGTTCCCTCTGTTGGAAGAAGGTACTTTAATATTGCGAGCGACTTATTGGGTACACAAGGCAAGTTGCCGTGGATTGGTTATTTGCTCGTGTGTGTAAACAATGGGATCATCTGGTAGCGTAGGAGTAGCGAAGTGATGTATACAGGTTTTTCATTGTTCCTGACAGTATGCGGGAGTGTGTGTTGGCTGTGTCATGGGTTAGCTCAAAGAGACAGTCTGGGGCGCGTAAACATAAGGGACCAGGGGTGACAAGGCAGACTGGCCGATCCGTGCAAGATAGCCGCGGTTGCAAGCCTAACCTTGAATTATCTGAGGTCGAATAACGGGACAGCCCTGCTTTGGTGAAGTGTCTGTTAGTTCACGATCTTTTTGCGGACGTTGGAACATAGGAGAAGAAGGAGACGCTGGATCAGCTGATAGGCCAAGCCTGAAGGGCATCATGACGCCAGAGTAGGGCATAATTGGAGCAGCTGCTATACCCCGACACCCACCCTAACTCAAAACCTAAACGCAAATGTACACTTACTCACAATACTAACCCTAGAAGTCTATCTAACTTGAATCTTGCGCGGAGGCACCCGCATCGTGGACGATACCTTTTCCTGTGTCCTGCAAGCGCAAATCTCTTCACCTAAGCTTCTGTTACCGCATTCAATATTATTTCCCCGTCGTACTGTTTCATCACTGATTATTACTGATGTTAGGCCTACAAACTAAGATCGTCTATTCAAAATCGGCTTGTGCCTTTTTTTTCATGAAAACTGTACAAGTGTGAGCTTCCGCGTTACATAATAATACATGCCTTCATAGTATTAAATTAGGAGCCGCGGAAGCTGGTAGAAACGCCAGAGAGAAAACCAATCTCGGTACTCTCACGCACAAGTAAACAATGTCAGATAAATTGCGGTTTTGAGGTGAATGTAGTCGGCATCAAAAAGTTCAAGTCATACGTTCCACAAACACTACTGCACCTCTCCTAAGGACGAGAATGCGCTGCCACTCCCTTTTTCCTCCGCCAGATCCCTCTTCTCCCCCTTTACATACCTTCTGTTCTAGCCATTTTCTCTACTTCTTACCCTGCAATGTCTGCTGCCTCTACCGGTAACGCCCTCATCGTACTGCGTACTAGCATACCTAAAACTCTGGCGTGCAATCGATCGATTTTTCCTTCTTCTCCAAGTTGACGCCGCCGTAAAACATTGGGGTGCAAGAAATTTAGCTGTTTCATGCGGGTGCGAAGCACGACTGCGGATGGCCCTAGGGACTATACCACACAAAGCCTATCAACGCATATGTCACTATAATTAACCGGACGCCTCACTCACAACTCACATATGCGTATGCCACGGATTTCTCATTGACCTTCTAAAACTTATCTTCGAAAAGAAGGCGACTCGATCGCTGATAAATTCATTTTATTCACCTGAAGTTTCAATATCCGTCGCGGATTCATCTTCAGGGGCTTAGGAGGGAGCAT